CACAGTGGCGTTTTTGGACACGAGAGGTCATCGTTGCCATTGGACACTTGATGTGTGTACGAATCAGTACAAGCTACACTTTGAAACAACAATCACTGCAGCTCTCTTTCTGCTATGTCTTCTTAAAAAAAAAACAAAAAATAAAAAAATGCCATGTTTTCTCTTTTTCTTTACGGTGACATTGATCACCCCTCACATCCAGAACATATATTGTAATTTGGATTCAATGCCGAATAAAGTCATTTATTGTTTAAGGCCAACAATAACTCTTTATTAATGCAAATTCTACGGAATCAATCAAGTCATATACAATACAAACAGCAAAAGTTTATTATAAACCTGGATGACTGATGGCTCCACACAAACAGCACAGGACGGATGGCTTCCAGCAACTAAAACAATGCATCCCTGGCAGCTTACATGCTCCAGAATCTTATACAATATATGTGTACACATGAGTCCTGATGAACTTTTTTGATATCAAAAATGTTGCAGTTATTAAATCAAAGCTACATACAGGTCACCATGAATTCACATGGGTTTCATTTATTCTGTAAAGTGCTTTTTGACATACTGATTGTGACACGTGGTTCTTGTATTTTTGTGTAATCTGGCCATAAATGAGTTGCATCAAGTTAAACAGGTAGAATAATAAAGAGGGTTTTTCATTGCTTCCGTCTGTTTTCTGTGAAGTGGTTGACGAGGCTTGCTCTCTCCTGGCTGCCTCCTTGTTTCTCAGTCATGCTGGGGAGAGCAATCCGCTCGCTGTGCACAGAGGCCTCGTAATAAGGACAGACTTTTAGATGAGCAGATATTGGAGGGATGTCGGCCATGTGCCACGAATCCACTGAGGAGAAGAGATGACTGAACTCCCATACCTGGAGAGAGACAGGAGCAGAGTCAGGAGGAGAGAAAACATGGATCATAGGTTGTTTTGGATCAGATGATGCAGTAACATATCTTACAGGCTTGGCCCTCCACTTGGCTTGTCTATGTGAGTCAACATCCTTCTCCCAGCGGAGGGTCACCATCCCTCTGTCCTGCAGCAGAGACGAACACACCTGCCTCATGAGCTGGGACACCAAAGCGAGCTGCGACAGGGACTGACTGTCCAGGAAGCTGGCCATGTGGCAGAGCACCTCGTAGGGCAGCGAGCTCAGAGAGTCCTCCCCTGCTCCTGCTCTGGACGAGTCATCACCTTGTGAGGCTGGAAGGGTCGGACGCAAGTTGAAACTCCTCAGTTCCTTACTGTAGGGAAGAAAAAAGAAAAAAAAACTTCACTAAACCAAAGTTTCTAAACTCAGTCTGTGTCCAATGTTAAGGCTCTTTGTTGTCAAGAACTTAAAGTTTAGCTTCAGTTAATGGGAGTTTAATCTATTTGTTGTGTCAGTTCTTAATTTTGATCAATAAGGATACTTTTCAAAAGAGACACTGCATGTTAATCAAACACATGATTCCATAATGTTTCCTTTTGTTTTAATTGAATTGAATTGAATTGAATTGAATTTTATTTACGTAGCACTAATTTGTGTATGTAATTCACGTCATATCAAGGTACCTAACACAGTAAGGTAAAAACATAGTAAGGATTTTCTTTTGAGCGAGCACTTTGTGACATTGCTTTTTGTTATAACATCACAGCAGGTGCCAGCTACCAAGGTTACAGTACAATAGACTGACCTCAGGCTCTCTCACTACAAATGTTTTACTGACATCATGATCCTTTGCTCTCAGTGCAGAAACTTATTGTGTTCTACTTATCTAAAAACTGCACAATCTAATGCTGAATTTAGAAGACTCAATGTCTTGTCTGCTTGATAAGATGGTAACTCTTTCAAATCAAGTAAAGGAGATGTCAGAGACTGATTACTGGAAACAAGAATGAAAACAAATACTGATGTAAATTAAAATTGCTGTTTTGTGTTTACAAAAGTCTAAAAGAAGAAGACGGAAACAACACACACCGATAGACCCGTCCACTGGTCGCACCCACAGACTGTGAATAAAAGATGGATGAAGTTTCCAGGTATATAAAGTGAAGCCAATAGCAAGTGACTTGAAATCTGTATTCTTTTCAACAACCAGTAGGGGCCGACTTGATTGTTACCTCAGTAAACATCTTCCTAATGAGTTTAAGTGTCAATTGATAGTTTCCTTTAATACAGCAAAATGTTCATTTAGCAGTTTAGTTTCAATTTGGAATAAGCTAGAGGATAAAACAGGGTGTGTTTTAGGGCATGGCTCGATTGTGATTGACGCTTAATGGACGTACGTAGCATCCTAAAGTTGTCAGTCAGGTCCACCCCTCATTTGTCATTTCCAGTTTCAAAAAACTAGAAATGACATAAGGATTCAAAACAGTACTCCATAAAGCAATAGGTGATGTCATGGTAACTGTCCAAATTTTCTATTTTATATATGATGGGCCATCTTTAGCCTCTGCTTTTCTGACATGCTGTCAATTTCACTGACACGTTGTGGAAGCTGTGATATGACAGATTAGAAAAGAAAAAAAATTTGAAAGCTAGTCTTTTTGTAGGGACAATGTAAGGTGTCCCAAATGCTGAAATCCATTATTGTTAACTGTGAGACACAACAAAGGGCCAAAATTACAAACTGTTCATGGTGAGATGGCATGTGTTGACATTGTGTAGTCTGAACCCGGCATTGTTCTAGGGCACAAACTAGACCCTGACTTTTAGCCACTTGAGGGCAGCACAACAGGCCGTGTACTCAGCACTGATATATTATCACAGTTTAAGTTGAAATCATAAACAACAGCTAATTTATACATCCAGCAGTTTCAGTGCAACATTAGCATTTATCTAGAGTTGTGTTTTTGTCCATCCAAAGTAGCAAAAATATTTAAAGGTATACATCAGACCCAAATATTAGAATCTGGATAGATACGTGTGACTCACTTATAGGTGACAGTGGCTTTAAGTGTGGAGGGCTGAAACCTCCTCTGGCTGTAGGTGCATCCCAGATATGCTAAAGGGCATCTCTGCTCGAACCATCCACTCAGACACGTCTGAATGTCACTGTGCACGTTCCTGTGAAGGAGATGACAGTTCATACATTCATTAGACACACACAGCATGACCATCCACGTCCAGAAAATGTACCTATTGCCAAGTGTTTTGTAGGTTGTGGACAGTAAATGTAAAAGAGATTCTGCTTTGATTTTACATGAACATTTATCTTCCAGCACAGATCTCTTATTGGTTGCATTCTTTTTGTTCATCGACGTTTGTTGAGTTATTAAAAATTCAGCGTTTACTGCTTTAATGTTTCAAACTACATATACAAACTACAGACTCCGACAAACAAACTATAGTATCCACGGACACCTGAAATGTGTGGCGAACTCTCTGCGGTGGAAGGTGTGACCGCAGATGAAGGTGAAGACGCTGCTGGCTCTGTGGTGCCTGCTGTTCACGCTCTCTGCCTGCAGCTGCAGATGGAGCTCCAGCGGTTTGTCCACCATCACCTCAGACAGGGTTGTCTTTCTTTTAAACGGAGCCGAGCTGAACGAGTGCGTCTGCGTTCCAATGTCCACGTAGAGCCCATCTGCAGCCTTTGACTCGCTGATCTGCAGGGAAGCCAATCAATCGCAATACCTAAATAATTGTATATCACATCAACGCTTTATAGAGTCCTAAACTATGTGTAGGTGTTCTTACTGATGAAAATTTTCCAAAGCATTTCATAGTTTCAAGACTCTTTGCACCTTGTGACCCATGACCTCCCTCTCAGCGTAGCCCAGCAGGGTGGCTGCTGCTTCATTAGCGAACACGTTCTCTTCATTTGCTCCGAGGTCTGATGTGTCCACACTTCGAGTTTCGCTCTGAGCTCGTGAAGCCGTATCGTACAGATGAACCCGCCGCTTGTAGTGAAAGCTCACAGGGGCCTTACAGGAAGAAATACATGAGAATATGTTACATTACAAGACAAGAGGACAGTGAACACATCTCATGTAAATTATTATTAATTCAGATTGACTTCAGTATGTTTCTAAATCAAATCTGATCAAACCACACCCCGGACTGTCTATGAAGATGTATTGACGTGTGTCGCTGTAGTTTGTGCTGGAGCTGGTTTTAAGGTCAGAGTTACAGCTGATACTGAAAACATGACATATTACCTCACACTGGAGGCTAGCTGCATAAAGCTGCACCACAGACCTGCATCTGCCACACTCTTTATTTATTCATCTGGATCCACATTAGCTTCCACCACAGCTGTTGTTAGTCTTTCTGGGGTCACACTATCAAAATGCACCACTGAAGCTTAAATGACCACATAAAAACTATTTTATTAAATAATAACTAAAGGTAATGCAAACATGAATACTGTAATTGTAGACAAAATAAGCAAGACACAATGGAGACCCAAGCTCTTTTAAGTATGTTCAAGCATATAGATAGATTTTTTTTTTAGGTGTTTCTTAAAGGTAAGGGTGCTGGATAATTCTCAAATTTTATGAAGCCGTTTGCATTTAACACAAAATTTATGCGAACTTTTAGCTAGTTTATTAACAGCTCACACTATCTAACATTGTCCTAACGTGATTATGTTTAGTGCGACTGACTTTGTGTTGCTCTCAGTCAGGTAAGAACCAAGACATCATTGTTAAAACATCTCCCGAAACGGAACTCATTCATTGTCCAAACATCCATCCTACACACCTTCAACAGTTTTTAAACTGAGATTATTCTGTGTTTCTTTTTCATCTGCTGGTTCTCATCCCTCTCTGTCAAAAACAGAAACTGACATCTGTTCCAAAATTACTGGACTGGACCTCTGAAGCCTCATGGTCTTCTTCTGTGAGCAGGAGGTCCAAAGGGCCTTGAGCTAAAGAAGTGTTGCGATGACTGCAATATCAACTTTGTTTATATACATTACTTTTATTTTTAACTTTTACTGTTGCAGTGAGAGTGTCAATGCAACCCAAAACATCCTGCTTGTTTATATAAATGATTCACAAAATCTAATTGCTTTGGTGCATAAATAAAGTTTTGAACTTAATCCAATTAAGTTGAAAAAACATGATGTCAGTTTGTTATAGATGAACTTCTATTATAGTCTATTAGAATTATTTTGTATTTAATTACGTCTCTTCATTCTTTCCTTTATTATGAAACCACACCACCACAGCCCTGATAAAGCAGATTAGCTGAGTTTTAAAAGGTTTAACTTTTAATAAATAGTATGTTTAGTCACACAGACATAACAGTAACAAATACATAAGGTTTGAAACCATGTCTTCAGGATCTTTAAAGCTGCTGTGTGCAGTTTTATCCCGATGGAGCTCTTAGCCTCTGTTGTTTGCACTTTTTCACCTCCTTTGCTGTTGGTAAGTATGTACGACCAGATTACATGTTGGGTCAAAAGGTGTCTTAAAATGTGAGCGTTACTGCCACAGTCCACTGTAAGATTTATAAGAAATACTTAGTGATACATTGATATCTGTTGTTTTTGTAGCTGTTCTGGATGGCCGTGCATAAAGGCAAGTGAAAAGCTTTTGTCATAGAGAGAGGGAAGATGTAATAGTCATTAAAATGGAGGTAACTTGCAGAAAATCCATCCTCAAAGGTAGTCAGGGTGAATCCCTTGATTCTACACACAAAGAGTATGAGAAGTAATTGAGTTAAGTTTGAAAAACAACCAGATAGAGATAAAGGATCTGAATATCTCCCTGAATTTAGCTAAGTTAAGGTGTCAGTACACTTCAATATAATTCTGAGTTTCACAGCAAATAATTGTATCTTTAAATCGTCACCGTGAAAGAGTGCAGCGTCTGCACTGGAATTGGTTCCAGGCTGCCGTAGACAAAGTCTTTGTCCCTCGGGGTACAGGCCTCCATTTGCCCGAAGGCAACCAGCATACGCCCATGATGCACCACGTACATGTTGTACTCATGTGGGGTGAGTTCTTTCCCCAGACGCTCCAGCACCCCGTCCTGCCACGGGGCCAGTCCAGTCTTACTCGTGTCTGGTGGAGGGAAGTTCTCAGCCGCACAATCTCCCTCTGCACCTTTGCTTTCTGCACATGTGTTGTCCTGCTTCTGGGCCTGTTTTGGATCCTCCACAGTTTTGGTGTTTGCCTTCTCCCCAGGTTTTGGGCTTTGTTTGGGATTTTCTAGGTTTGCCTCAGTGACAGCACAGGCACGTTTCTCCATGCTGAACATCAGCTCACACATGTTGTATTTCTCTTTGCTTAGGCCTGAGCCTTGTTCCACAATGTTCTGTGCAGCCTCCTCTTCAACACTTTTCTCACACAAGCTGTTTACAGGGTGGTCTCCTGGATTGAAGTAAAGACAACAGATTAGAAATTGAAAGAGACTGCAAGAAAGAAGTTGCAATGTATGCTGCAAACTACTGTTGTATTCCTAAAGCCCCTGAAGATATGGTTTAAAATGTGAATAAATAAGAAATAGTCAAAGTTGAAAACATCTTTAGCTCGCTGTGGGTGGTTTGATCAGATTTGACTGACAGGTACAAAAAAAACTTTGTTGAGTAAAATAACTGTGTGGCAGAAAAAAGTGTAAAAGTGCTGAACCCCAGCACTTATAATGAAAGAATAACTGAAAAAATATTTACAGGTTTCAGGTTTTCAGGGCCTTTTAGGCGACTCCTGACCCTATGATGCATTATCTTAGAGGAGATGTCTCATGAAAGTGGTTATTTCATGTCAGATGAAAGCAGCAGTATGATTCACCTTCACTGGTTCCTTTGACACCGTTGACAATCCCTCCAACTGCCGTCTCCTCTTTCTTCTCATCCTGTATTTCCTCCTCTTCTTCTTCCATCAGCTCTGGGTAGAGGGGCTTCATTTTCAGGCGGCTGTACAGATCTGACTGATCCACCAGAGCCATGGCAAGTTCCAAAGCCTCTCCCTGCACCTCTCTTTCCTTCAGCACATTATCCTGCAGGGCTTTGAAGTTGTGTGGGTTCGTGTCATCGGTCAGCCAGCGAAGCCACTCCATGGAGCAGGACACCACACTGGCCGGACACACCTGGAGGTGAGCTGCCCGAGAGGAGCGGGGTAGCTGGACTGGGCAGCCGAACTCAGCGTTGAGGCAGGGCACCCTGACATTGGGGCAGAGCAGCAGGTGATCCTCCTCTTTGCAGAGATGGAAAAGGGCACCGCAGTGCAAACGGCAGGGGATGACGGCACAGGACACAGAGACCTCCACCCGAGTCCTGCAGCGCCGACTGTAGCAGGAATCACAGTGGACATGCTGTCGCACCCTGGAGGCCCGAGAACGATGACTCTGAACGGGTGACGAAGTAAAATGGAGGAGCCAAGAAGATAAAGAGTTACACCACAATGACACAGCATAATAAAATGGAATCTTTGATCCAACACCAATACTTAGATTAGAACTATAAAATTCATGCATGTTAATGGGGTGCACAAAATGTTACCAACACGAGTAACTGTAATGCATCACAAAACAAAACAAAGTCTGCAAAAACTAAAATAGCTTCTCAAGCAAAAACGTTATTTATGCAAGAGCCAATGAATCAGATTGCATTACATTTTACTGGTGTACTTAATAAAAGGGGGTCATATCGGAAATCTGTGACTCACCATATCCACAGGACTTTGGACCGTTTGGTTTTGTTGCCCTGCAGGGAAAAACACAAAAACATTTTAAACTGATGTTTTACCCTGTGGCATCAGCCCTTAGGAGTGATTCACAACCTTTTTGACTTGTGACCCCTGAAAACAAAGCAATGTCTACTTCCTCCATCATCACTGGCATCAGATTATTATGGCCAAAACAACTAAAGAGTGACCAGAAGTGTAATCTACAAAAAACAACAAGAGGAAAGAAAGCTACAGTCAGCAGCTTTGCAAAAGGTACTAAACACTAACATCATAATGCAAAGATGCCGAAGAACATGCCAATGTGATGTAGGTACATGTTCACTACACTAATTTGGCATATTACAGGCTAACATGATAATTTCCTAATTGGCACAAAACACAAAGTCCAGCTGAACATTTTTGCTGGTATTTAGTCATAAGCTAAAGTACTGAACAAATCAAATATTGTACAAGATGAAAAATCAGGGTATCCCCAAAGTTATTGTCATTCATGTAGAATGGAACATGAATGCCTGTGATAAATGACATGGAAATCCATTTAATAGTTAGGACATGTCACTGGAAACCAAAACACATGTCTCTACGGGGAGTTTAGGGATTTCCAAGTCACTAGACCAAATCCTCTCAAGAGCATCTCTACTACATTTGAGTCCAGTTGTTGTTGAGACATATCAATCTGGACTGACAGACTGACAGTGCTGCATTTACATTTTTACTTAGATTCCCATCCTATTATCTCCTGACCAATGAGAGTAGTACTGTAGCTCTATAGAGGGTCAGTAACCAGCAACAGGCTGCACAACAAATTAGCTGCACACAAAAAATTATTAGCATAAAAGAAATGTCAGCTGACTGTGCAGCACTCTTGTCAACACACATTAAAATGCACTTGTGTCCCAAATGTAACACGAAGATTTAAAGTCATGCGTAAACACAGAGCATTGTTGAGTTGCATGTCCTCTGGCTCTGTAACAGCAACTCATACGAGCATGTAAAGCACCTGAAATATTCACCTTCTACACCTTTATTACTTCTCTCAGTCGTTTCACTGTACTCCCTATAGTTCAGATCAACAAAGACAGACACTATCAAAGTATTTCAGCAGATTAACAATAGGATCAAAGTTTCCGGTCAAATGTCTTACCAAGGTGCCACCACAGACGTGTCTCTTAGGTTTTATAACGTTGCTTTTGCTCCCTGTGCTCTTTGAACTGGAAGGTTATAATTAGACAAGAGAGCACGAAACACATTCAGGAGGAGAAATAACTCCCCCCTCTGACTCCAACTCCAAACCACAGCCACCAAACTCTGTTAAGAAGTTTGCATGTCTTATTCTGGGCCACACTGTATGTGTCTGAACACCTGTTGTCAAAATAAATAGGCCATCCTCTGTTTGAATAACTGCAAGAAAATGCTCCCGAGCAGTGTGATTGTACCAAAACCTCCACTAGAGGACAGTGTTTGGATTAGAAATGAACTATTTTTTCCCTGCAGGTTGAAATTAATAGTAGGCAACAGCAAAATATGCGTAAGAGAGAAGTAAGTGAGACAGAAATCTAAAAAGAAAAAACTAAATTTGGTGACTTCTCTTGAATATGACAATCATTTTCTTGCCTCATTTTTTTCTTTTTCTCACCCTAATCCAAACCAAAAATCATCATCCTTGGCCCTCCAGGGTGCAAAAGCACTGTGATTCCTCAGAGGCCTGGTAACTGAAACCATGTTACTGATGACCGCTGTAACATTTCTCGGTCAGTCTATTAATAACACGCACACATAACAGACACACAGACAGTTGGTCTTTAAAAGTACAAGACAGACTACAAGGAGAATGACTCTCTCCAACTCGTGGCCTGCAGTTCACTCTTTTTTTTAACTTTTACGCCACAGAATTCTGCTGGCAACCTGCTATTGTGGGTTCCTACATATCTTTTTTTAAAGCTAATGGTACTGAGAGATTCTAAGTTTCCTCTGCGTTTGGTAGACAGACCTGCAGCTCAGATAAAGAAACCTGACGCCAGAAGACCTGAAGGATGGTATGGACTTTATTTTGCAGCTGCAATACCAATGTTGTTTTGAATTATTAAGTTTTATTTGCCTTTAAGTAGCTTTTTGGTTGTGAGCTGTCCAGTGTGTCATATAAAGTAAGAGATTATGTTCTTCAGCTCTTCACTGAATCTTTGTTTGCACAAAGTGAAATATTAAACATCCATTATCTATACACCGCTTAATCCTCATTAGGGTCGAGGGGGGCTGGAGCTTATCCCAGCTGACTAAGGGTGAAGGCAAGGGACACCCTGGACAGGTCACCAGTCTGTCACAGGGCTACACTCAGAGACAGACAACCAAGCACACTCACATTCACACCTATGGACAATTTAGAATCACCAATTAACCTCAATATGTTTTTGGATCTTGTGGGAGGAAGCTGGAGAGCCCAGAGAGAACCCACGCTGCACGGGGAGAACATGCAAACTCCATGCAGAAAGATCCCGGGTGTCCTTATTGGGACGCGAACCACCGACCTTCTTGCTTCGAGGCAACGGTGCTAATATTAAACATGCAAAACTCGTTAAAAAAAAAAAAGGCCGACCGTTTTTGTGCTCAAAATTTCCTGTTAATTGCTCAGGAACGAGACACGAAAGCAACGCCTTGTAAACAAATTGAAATATTGACATATTTTGCATCTTTAGCCAGGTTTTTGGATTCAGATGAGCTATGGGGTGCAGAATTTTACATTAACTTATGCAGGTTTGAGCTAGTTTTGGTAGCACAAGTTCACCATTAGTGACTGACCCATGTGCCTGTGAGGTTATGTGGAGTTTAATGTCTCAATCTGAAACACAAATGCTAACTTATCATGCAAATGTACTTACATATAAACTGCATAATATTAAAATCTGTTGTGTTTAATGTGTCCACTGTTTCAAATCTAAAAAAAGAAAAAGAAGTGTTGATTTAATGACTTCTGCTGATTCTAACAGCCAGTCTGTTCTCTTGGTCTTCCTTTTTTCCCCTTTATTTCCCATTCAGAGTCATCGTTCTCGGGCCTCCAGGGTGCGACAGCATGTCCACTGTGATTCCTGCTACAGTCGGCGCTGCAGGGCTCGGGTGGAGGTCTCTGTGTCCTGTGCCGTCATCCCCTGCCGTCTGCTCTGCGGTGCCCTTTTCCATCTCTGCAAAGAGGAGGATCACCTGCTGCTCTGCCCCAATGTCAGGGTGCCCTGCCTCAACGCTGAGTTCGGCTGCCCAGTCCAGCTGCCCCGCTCCTCTCGGGCAGCTCACCTCCAGGTGTGTCCGGCCAGCGTGGTGTCCTGCTCCATGGAGTGGAATCGCTGGCCAGCCAATGATGCCCATTCTTACCCAAACACAGAGCTGCATGAAAACCTGCTCAGAGAAAGAGAGCAGGGAGGATGTCTGGACCTGGCTTTGGCCCTGAAAGACCAGGACCGCCTATTTCACTCCATTAAGATGAAGAAACTGTTCCCAGAGATGATCCAGACTGCAGAGGAGGAGATGAAAGAAGAGAGGAAGGAGAGGGAGAGGGAGAGGAAGAAGAAGAAAGAGAGGAAGAAAAAGGCAGCGGAGAGGGAAGCGGCAAGAGAAGCCAATGCTCAAACCTGGGAGTCTTTCAATCTGTTTAACATCCAAAACCCTAATGTGACAGAAGAGGAGGAGGAGGATGAAGATGAGGATGAGATTGAATATCAGCCGGTGCTAACTCAGGAGGAGAGAGAGGCTATAGCCAGGTCATCAGTAGTTGATGCTGACCTGTTAGAAAACTACAGCACCTGGGAGCACATGTTCAGTATGGAGATGGGCGGCTGCCGGACAGCTGGAGAGGCAGCAGCAGGAGGCCGAGGACAGAGTCTGCCTAAAGGGAGGGGAAAAGGCCTGGGCACTGTTATGGAGGAAGATGCCTGTATGGGTGCAACAGCATCAGACACTTGTAAACTAGTGAGCGGTGCCTGCACCTCCTCATCCTCCTGTCCAGCTGGAAAGCGCAAGAAGGGGAACTTTGTGTACGGACACGTGGAGGCGATGAAGATTATCACTGTACGCACCTTTAAAATCCCAACCAGCTTTTCTGCCAGGCAGTCCCGCATCCGCAACCCTGGTTTCTACAGGAGAGAGAGTGAAGCTGTGGACACCAGCGATCTGGGAGTGGCGCTAGAGGAGATGCCAGTTTGGGAGGAAGTTCAGGTGAGGCAAAGGAATTCAACCTTTTCAGAGTATTTTGGTAAAAATGCTCTTATTAGACCTATGAAAGTTTTTGGCCACTGCTGTGAACACAACATTGATATCCATCTCCTATTAAGTTTAAACTTTATCTATTAGTAAACACAAGTGTTTTACATTTACAGCAGACATAGATACAACCACATTTATTTGGATGAATACAGGTCTTAACTCTCCTTTTAGCTCTGTTTTTGGTCTCCACCAGGGACTGAAGGAAACATTTAGATATATTTAGCACTAAATGGTGCATAATGTTCATTAGATAATTACAATGGCTGCTGCTTGGTTGTCTAACTCCCACCTAGTGTCGACTGCAGGTAAAAGTCATGCATTTCAAGCAGTTTTCTTCTCCCATTCTGCTATACAACAGCCTCCGGACTAAAAAAATCTACCGCACAGAAAATTTCAAGTTTTGTCAAGAGGTTGGATCATTCAGTAAGGCAGCCATGCTAGTGTTTTTTACCCTGTGAATTAATCATTTTAATGACAGTGCTAGCCTCTCTGCCTGAAAATGTTCTATGAAAACTTGTTGGTTTCCAGAAATACAGACAAGCCTAAGTGTTTTCCTCGACAGAAGAATGATAGTGAGGTGTATGTGAGAGTAGCTATTTGATGTTGAGCAGGTTGGAGACAGCTGCCCACTGTGGCAAAAACAGCACTATGAGAACAGTAAAAGCAAAACATTGATTCATTCTCACTATAAGTAAATTAATTATAGCTGTTGTGTCCTATAAGTTTAAATTTAGCTAAAAGTTTGTCAATCCAGAGAAAATCGCTCTTTTTATCTCACATGATATTTACTTGTACAGAAGAAATCCGAGCTGCAACGCTTAAGTAGTCAATTTTTCAATAGAATCTTAGTTTAAAATGAATAAATTCCAATATATTTCACTTCAGTCAGCTGTCTAAAAACACCTTATTTTTTGGTTTAGGACTGGTTGGGGAAAAAACCCCAGTATTTTGAAGAATGTAGCTTTTTTTGTGCTGCACAGCATTGTGTGTGTGTTTTTGTTTTTTACATATTTATTTTTGAACACTTTATTGACTATTTAAGGGGGAAAAGCACATTTTTCTTTAATTTTCTGCATTTCAGTATTGCTTAAGCTGTGAGCTAAGTCATATATGTGTCCCACTGGTAAAGCTTTATAGCAGCCATCCGTCAAGAACCCCCAATCAAAAGTGGTGCAAACACTAGGGACTGCAACATCTAGTCCTTTCAACGAACCATATTGTCTCACTGGTATAATGTGATCTTGCGGCGTCACAGGCCATTTGTGAAAAAACAAGTCAAAAAACTTACAATAGGGCTGTAAGGTGGAGCAGTGTTTAGCACCGTTGCCTCACAGCAGGAAGGTCGCCGGTTCACGTCCAGATAAGGACACCCGCGATCTTTCTGCGTGGAGCTTGCATGTTCTCCCTGTGCAGTGTGGGTTCTCTGGCTTCCTCCCACAAGGTCCAAAAAGATGTTGAGGTTAATTGGGGATTCTAAATTGTCCGTAGGTGTGAATGTGAGTGTGCTTGGTTGTCTGTGTCTAAGTGTAGCCCTGTGATAGACTGGTGACCTGTCCAGGGTGTCCCCTGCCTTCACCCTGAGTCAGCTGGGATAGACTCCAACCCCCCGCAACCCTAGTGAGGATTAAACGGTGTACAGATAATGGATGGATGGAAAACCTTACAATATGAAAAAGTAAAAACATTGCAACAGAAGAGTGAAAAAAAACTCTCTTTCTAGAGGTAGAATCCTCCAACAGAACCAGGTTTGGGCAGAGACATTGCTCAAATGATTTCTCTTGTTTGTTTAATACTCAGCACCACACAACCTCCTACTTAAAGCGGCAATAAATATTCTGAACGTTTGCTTCATGGTGCGTTTGATTTGCTTCTCAGGCCTCCCTGCTGTGCTCCCTGGAGAAGGAGCAGAGGGGTCACCTCATCGCAGAGAGTGTTTGCCAAGACGGTCTGTTACAAGATGAAGGCACACAGACCTACAACTTTCTGTCAGCTCCTTTCCGGAAAAACACGTCACTGGCTGACCTGAATGCCAGGAAACCACCAGAGCTGCACCTACAGCTGCAGGTGGAGAGCGTCACTAGCCGACACCACAAGGCCAGCTCTGCCTTCACCTTCCTCTGTGGACACTATTTCCAGCGCAGAGAATACGGCAAACATTATAAGTGAGTTTTATTTATTGCCATATTATTAAATTCATACCTGGAGAGACAACAAATTCATGTACACTCCCAAAACTGTTAGTTTCTTCATAGTTGAAAGACAGTATCATATAAGAGCTGCAAAATAAAACAAAAAAAAATCTAATTATTTGCATGCAAACTCACACTAGGCCAGGTTAACCATGAAGATAACACATGGAGATAAAACCTTTGTATTCAGTATGTAAAGGACAGAAAAAATGTGGTTTTATTTTATTTATAGCCCACATATACATTTGATCATATTCTGTTTGAATGCATTGACCACTCTGATTATTCCTATAAACACCCACATGTCTTTTGTTACAGTGAAATGAAAATAATCTGTTTCTAATGATCAATATATAGGAACATCCACAGCGACATCCAGATGGGTGTAAACGGCTGGTTTGAGCAGAGATGTCCACTGGCGTACCTGGGATGCACCTACAGCCAGAAGAGACTTCAGCCCTCCACACATGAAGCAACCGTCAAATACAAGTGAGACAAAACGATAAGTTCACCTTCATATACAATGAAAAAGCCGAAAAAAATGTAGAAGTGCAAACAAGCTCTGCTATGAGAAAAGGCTATTTAATTTTCCATGGTATTATATTGAATACAATGCGTGCAGAATTTGGGACAACAGTGTCCATCAGCAGAACTCTTCTAGTAAAAGTATTAGATTTGCATTTATACTCAGGTAAAAGTACAAAATTATTAACATCAAAATATACTCAAAGTACCAAATATATGCATTGCGTAAAATGGCATTTTTCAAAATATGATGTATCAGTAGATTACAATTACTAATGCAATGCATTTGTCACTTTAACTCTGCAGCTTTTAAAGGGGATGTATTTGATCAAGCTTAACTGCTGGGTAGCTTGTGAATTTCCCTTTAGGGATCAAAAAAGTTTTGTCTCAATCTAAAATATTAAATGGTCATTTATTGATTGATCATATTTCGCATTATCTAACTAAATCTGCAGAGTGTGTTACTACAGTTATTGAATAATAATAAAATATTTGCATTTCATACTGTCCACCACTGCTCACCTGTCTTGAGAAGCTCAGAGTCAGAGCTCATTTATGTGATCTTGGGGCACCAGAGCTACTTCATATTTCATACACACACAAAAAAACAATAAAAAAAATAAAATAAAAATGTGGTTGTAAACCTGCAGTAACACATTTTGGCCACAGGACAGCAGCAGAAACAAACAATGTTATTAAAGCCAGTATGTCAAATCGATTGCATTGGTTACTTATTTACATATCTGGCATATACATGTCATATTTGGCATTGCTTGGATTCATGTTTTTGGCCACCTGTTCCTTTAGTTTCTCTCTTCTTAGAATTGTTTTGGTTTCTACTGACATTTAAAGAAAATAGAGGGGACTTAGGCTGCTAAATACTTCATAATATTGCTTATCTAGTCACTGTAGTAGTGTGAAAAATGACAAACAGTATTGGTAAATGAAAACACTAAAGTTTGAGGTAATTTTTAAAATTTATTATAACAAGTCATGACTTTATGTCCCATTATACATGATCATTTAATCTATTGTCATAAATAAAAATACTGATTGTTGCAGCTTAAAGTTTTGGTTAAGTGTGACATTGACTTGGCACTTTATTTAGATTTTATTTAGGTTTAATAAGCCCATCAATCCTCATGCAAAGAATTATAAATCAAATGCTTTTTCACATAACATAATTGCATCTGTGCTTTCAGTGAGGATCTGGGCTGCTTTAGCCTCCATCCTACAACCCTTGTCTCTCTGGGTGATGCCTCCCAGCCGTCCAGCAACTCAGCAGACTCCTCTATCGCTCAAAGGAAGAGAGGAGGTCAAGCTGGAGCAGGGGAGGACTCTCTGAGCTCGTTGCCCTACGAGGTGCTCTGCCACATGGCCAGCTTCCTGGACAGTCAGTCCCTGTCGCAGCTCGCTCTGGTGTCCCAGCTCATGAGGCAGGTGTGTTCATCTCAGCTGCAGGACAGAGGGATGGTGACCCTCCGCTGGGAGAAGGAGGCCAACTCACATCGAGGAGCCAAGTGGAGGGTGACGCAGAAGGTGAGAGCCGACAGACTGACATGTGGGAAGATGAGATGTTCGTATTTCATCAGCAAAATAGGGGCTGTTAAAAGTGCATCAAGTAGATAAAAGATAAAGTGATTCCTAAAAGAGTACAAAACTGCATCAAGGCTAAAGTTAGAATAAAGTATGAAGGAAGTTACATGAAGTTTTCATTGATAGAGACCAACTGGTGGCATATCGAAATAAAAAATAAAGTAAAACAAACACTTTAAAACTGTCAGATGGTGCCCTTTTGTTCAGTGGTTTAAGACCCAAAGTATGTAAAATGATCTGTGATTTCAATTCATTCATCCGAAAAACAAACATGTATCAACAAAATGAATATAATTTTGTCCCAAATCATCTTACAGGCCCCAGATTTATATCATGACCTCCAGCTGGACTAAGCCACTGTATATAAAGTTGTTAAAGATGCAATATGCAAATTTGTGAACATAAACCAATAATAGAGCATCAAACAACTATCTGCTATATAAATATATAGTGGAGTAATGGTGTCCTTAGCAGAGTATAACGTCACATGCGTTGTGTTTTGGAGTCAGTCTGGTGCACATGTTGTGCTTGTTTGTGCATGTGAGTCCCTCCATTTGAAACTGTTGACCCTCCCCATGCTCATAAACAGACAAATGCAACAAACAGAAACACACAGAGGAGAGCAGACATGACTGGATAGAAGGAGATACCGGTGAAGTGAAGATAACGCTACTCGAGTTGACAACAACTCTTCACTGCCGTTCAAATTATTTTACAATGCTAGCATGGGCTAATGGTTGTGGCTGGTGCATTGTTTGTTGGTTTTGGTGTACACAGCGTTTCTGGTTTTCCTTGTAATTGAAGGAAGGTAGGATGTGCAGCTCACGGTACATACGTCTCTCTCTGTTCCTGCAGGTTTGGCAGTTCAGCTCCTTGTTCTCTCCTGTGGACACCTGGTGCTTCCGAGACGTGCCGTCCATCTCGGAGCATCTAAAAGTGTGTCCCTACTACGAGAAAGAGTCCAAGACAGAGAAGATTTGTCTTCCACAGATCCGAGAAGTAATCCAAACCAACAGGAGCTGCAAAGGTCCCACTCTGGTGACCTTGTTCCAGCAGCAAAGGATCATGATGTAGGGGTGTTAGAAATCAGGTAGCTAGTAAAATGTATGTGTCACAACCCACCAACAACAGACTTTTATTGCATGCAGTCCCTTTTCTCTCTCTTGCCATATGCCCTGTCACTGCTGTCCACTGGCATTTAAAGGTAAAGGAGTTGAGTTTTGATATTAATGCTGTGACACTGATTCGATGCCTTCATTGCAGACACAGACTTTGCAGTCTAAATCGAACTTCATTGACAAAAAATGTCAGGAAAGCACTGAAATTAAGTATGTAAAGAAATTCCTGAGTAAAGCAATAAAGCCACAGCTGTCCTCTTTTTTTTTTTTTTAATTCAGATACAATTAAAAATGTGTTCTTGGAGATTTTGAAAAATGGCAACACTCAAGTTTCCTGAGGGTAAATGAAGACTTTAAAAAAAAAAAAGTGATGTTTACATTATAGGATTTTTAAAAAATTAAAAAACAAAACAAAAAACAAATCCTGAGCCATTTTGCCTCCCAAACAGCTATTCTGATACATTAGACAGTGAGTTAATACATGTGCAATTCCATTACTTAGGAGACATCTTCAGAACAACACTACATGAATGAATACTTCTATATAATGAGGTCCCTTCCGTGAATAACTTATTCTATGTTGCAATAAAAAATGTAAAAAAATTTAAAAAACACTATATGTGCAGTTTCAGCTTTGGAAGATAAAAATAGAAAAGGAGTCACAAGTTGACTATTACAGTTATCAGAATAGACATGTTTCTGTTGCAGCAAACAACACAGGATTTCTACATGATACCTGTGTTTCTTTCTTAAAATCATCTTTGACTTGGCTCTCTCTAGTGGCTTTTGCTGGATTTGTTTGTGTTCCCGAGGACATCTGCTCTGAGCAGTCTGTAAAACAACACGACATTCATGATGGACATCAGGCTAAGGCCGGCTGTCCCCATCATCAGGACGTAATGAGGTAAACCTTCACTTTGACCTGCCAGCCAGCAGGCCATCCAGCCCAGAGTGCAGAAACGAAACACCAAAAACCTGCAGGGGAGACAGAAAATCGATCAGAAACTGTGAAACCAAAAGCAGACAGACAACCAGCATCATATCACCATTTATTATATTGAAACAACAAGAAAGGTCTGATTACTAGAAACAATTTTAGGTTTATAATCTTGCTCAGTATCTGACATGTGGACAGGAGGAGCTGGAGTCTAACTGATGCACCTGTGATTAATGAATGACCTGCTGCACCTCCTGAAAAACACAACTGCTTATGACCAAAGTTTGAATAAAGACTCGCTGCACAACTTTTTCACACCTCAAAAATGTAGTTGTGTATTTTTGTATGCACCTTGGTTACTTGCTTAGGTTTTTGTATGCATAGAGGTGACTGGGCCTTTGCAGTAGCTGCTCCTAGTCCCTGGAAGAGTTCGCCTTTTCATGTAAGAACTGCTGAGACTTTAGAAACTTTAAAGTCACAGCTGAAGAACCACTTCCTTTCTTATGTGATGCTATTCATAATAATGCTGCACTTTGGTTCAACTCTTGTTGTTTTATGTGCTTTATGAATACATTTAACTCGACTTGACCTTCATGAACACACAAAACATTGTGCTATAATATTAGTCATCTTTAGAGTTGCTGTATTTGTCCCATTTTGTCAGTCGTTATAATGAACTTACAGCAGCCTCCAGCTTCATATTGAGATGGCAAACAGAAGAGTGTTATCAAGCTTCTCATCTAAATCCCTGCAGGACCGCAGTTAAGCTGATTTGCCGCAGTCTGTCTTTAAAACTACAATATAAAGCTAAAGTTTTTTTTAACTTTTACTGTTCTTTAGTTTAGTTCTTTGCAAACCAAAGGTCGGAGGGTAACTTTTCTAAAAACATATGTCATTCATAAGTCAAGGCTGGTGGGAGTTTTTGTGTTTTGTTGCATAAACTGAAAAAAAGTTTTATGACCTAAGAAACGGATTAAAAACAGACGATATTGTAGCAGCTGATCAAAGCATGCTGACAAACGATTAGTTATTCACTCATTTTTGTTATATGCCACTTCTTACATACTCCACTGAACATGAAATTATATTTTCCAGTGTAAACACATGGTTTACCTCTCATTGTGTTCAAGACTATTACTAATTTTTTGCAAGTAAAAAAAAAAATACACAAATGAATTTGAAATGGTGCTGTTTGAAATTTCAGGTCGTCACATATTGAAAAGCATCTCTCTCATCTTCCCTGATAAAGCTCCACTAAGTCACCTACGTTCCCAGGTTGAGCCAGCTGACAACGCTGAAGGCAAGAGAGGGACGAGGAGATGCGACTTCAGGTCCCGGTCTGTTCCTCCGTCCTGACAGGAGGAGCAGCTGCCTGGTGTGAAGGAAAACAGAGTTGATCTCCACCAGCAGAGACACCAGAGCGAAGCCCACGTAGAGGCGGGACACTGCAGCCAAACCGAAGCATGAGATCACCTGAGCAAAGAGTTTCAACAGCAGAATCAGCACAAACAAGCAGGCACAGCAACATGCTGAACAACTTTATTCACACTTTAACAAAACACATGCATAGATAATGACCTATAATTCAGGAGGTCACATATAGCTGTAACAGAAAGTCTGTCATGATTGATTCATCTTCCCAGAAACCTATTGTGACAGACTAAACAACGGGTTTACCAGTATTTAGTAAACTACTTACCAATGTCAAAAGCTAATAGAACAGAAAAGAATAGAATAGATTTTATTTATCTCAGACCTGGGAAATTATTTAATAATAATAGATGTAATAATAAGCATTTATATGGATTTTCTCAGGTTGCCAAGCTGCAAAAAGTCAATTTGGCTGAGATATGATATGCTCCTGTGTAACTTCTTTGATATTTTATCTCATTAATTATTCAGGAAAACCTCTGTGGGTGGAAAAAGTACAGTTTGGTCCAGATGTTGTGTAGCCATTCTCTAGAAGATAAGCAAACTAAGACAAGGAGGAGGATAAATTGTAGGACATTCTTAACAACCTGTTGACCCAAAAGTCTTCTGCTTTGTAAGAAAGTTGTACTGAAACATATAAAACTACCACAGAGCACCTGAACCCAGCAGACTTTGAACTTTGATCAATGTAAAGGTAAATGTTTTACTGTCTCTTCAGTTACATCAGCAGCTGTACACATGCTCATCAGCAAACATACAAACCTGCCAGACACAATGTGCGCTGCATTCAAAGTTGCCCTGTATTTATATGATGTTGTGACACTGAAGTCGCACCCTGAGGCAGCAGTGTGTTGGTGTGCAGCAGGTGAACCAGGTCATGACCTGCGCTGCCTCTGGAGATAAAACGGTCACACAGATCAAGGCTGAATACCACAGAGAGGATATGGTGATTGTGCGCTTTCATTTACTGACCTTGTGTAACTGCAGGACAACTGAGAAGAACAACTTGTAACATTATGAAAAATAAAAAATAAAATCATCTTCATGACTCTGGAGATTATGAATGTCCAAGAGTTATAAATAATACATAATGTCTATTGAATTAGATTGCAGGTAC